GGAAAAAAGGGAAAGGGGAAAAAAGGGAGAAAGGATAAAGAAAGGAGAAAGGGGAAAAAAGGGGGAAAATGACAAAAAAAGGGAAAGGGGGAAAAAAAGGGGGGAAATGACAAAAAAGGGGAAAGAGGGGAAAAAGGGAGGAAGGGGGAAAAAAAAGGGAAGGAAAAAAAAAAAAGGGGAAGCCGTTCTGTCCCAGTGCCAAGCAATTTCCTGCTAAAACGAGTGGAGAAAGTTGTGTCTCGGCCCCACCTGGTGGACAAAGCTCCAGGGATGGGAATGCACAAGGAAAGAGCTGCAGGTGACCCAACCTCCTGCATAAGATTCCAGGTGAGGGAGAGACAACTCACTCCCAAACATCCATCGGCTGCCCAGCTCCCGCCGGGCTGCTCCGACCAGCGGGTGGAAAGGGCTTTCCTCGCCCCTTATTTCGTGCTACAAAAAAGTCTTGGGATCATTTCAAGTATTTCAGCTCAAGGACTGACGCCCCAAATTCCATTTGCCGCTTTGTAAAGCTGCACCAAGGCCATCCAGCTGGGAATTCTCTCATCCTCCCCTGCAGTGACCGGCTCAGCCGGGAAATAAATAACCTGAGCTCACCCGAAGCCTTTTCAGCTCATCCAATCCCTGGATTGTTCCCGTTGGGTGCTTCACTCAAGGGGAATTTCCAGGGAGCGGGTCGCAAACCCCCAAAAATGAACCAGAAGCTTTACGGGCACCGACAGCACCTGGACCGACCTCTAACAGCTGGATTTTCGGATAAACACCGCGACTTTCCTTCTGGAGGCGCATAAATAACAAAGCGAGGGGAACAGCGGTCGCAGACCAGCTCTGCAGCTCTCCCTCCCAGCCCTTCCCTCCTCCAAAGGCGGGACTGAGAAGGCACAAGGGCAAATTGAGGGCAATAACGCCAATATCGGTAAACCCGGGATAAAACAACGCCAACACCGGCAAATCCGGCCTTTCCGCACGATTTCACAGCCCCGGCCCCGCAGCAGCGCCCCGGGCAGCGGGAGCGCACCAAGAGCGCTCGGAGCAGCCGCTCAGCTCCGCACCGGGCAGCGCGCGGCACCGGGAACATCCCGTTCCCGAGGACGCCGGGACAGGGAGGGAAGGGGCCCGTCCCGAGCCGTCCCGCGCCCACGACCTCCTTCTCCGACGCCTTCTCGCCGACTCCCAGCAGCCCGTAGAGGTCCAGCTCCAGCAGGTCCTTATCGACCGCCATCTCCGCGTTCCCCGTTGCCGGTCCCGCTCCCGGTGCCGGTCGTTCCCTTTCCCGGTGCCGCGGCCGGGCCGCGCCGCTCGCTGGGAAACGTAGTCCCCAAGCGCTGCCGCGCCGCGCGCCGTCCCCGCAGGTGGACTACAATTACCGTGATGCATCACGCGCCCCCGCGGAAGGGCGCGTCTGCCGGGCGCCGCGCGCCGCGTGGTGCGCCGGGTGTTGTAGTTCCTTTGCGGCTCCTGTGAGCGGGAAAAGGCGGGAGGAAAACTACAACTCCCGTCGGGCTGTGCGCGAGAGCCGGCGCGCCCCTGACAGCGAGTTTATCGAGGAAAGCCCGTCCGGGACATGGAGTCCCAATGTCCCCCCCCACCGCTGGCCATGTCCCCAAGTGCACAGACACATCCATGTGGTAGATCCCTCCAGGGGTGGTGACTCCATCGCTTCTCCGGGCAGCCTGTGCCAGTGCAGGGTGCTGCGAGCCCAACTACAGCCCGTTCCCAAGAGCATCCTTGTTTTTGTTGTTCCCAAAAAGCATCCATCTCAGCCCAAGGCACGGCTCCTTCGGAAATTCCTCTTGTCTTCTTATTGACCTAAGATGCCTTCCTTTTTTTCCACGCAGTTCTGAGAAGGAAGCACTAGTCTATCCAATTATTCCATTACATGGGAGATGGAGTTTTTTCAGTGTTTATTCGATTATTGTAGAAGGATTCGTGTCCTTGCTGGCTGAAGGACTAAGAGCCTTCAGACCATTTATTTTAATCAGCAATATTAACAGACCTGAGATCATGAAGAAAACTGGGTAAATGTGAATCCAGCCAAGTGTATGTTTGGGAGATGTTTTCTAACCTAGCAGTGCAATGAAACCCAAGAATTCTGGGTCCATCTCCATGGAGCTTCACCCAAGGAGAGCAGGAGCCTTGCTTGTCATAGACTCATAGAATGGTTTGTGTTCAAAGGAACCTTAAAGCCTGTTCAGTCCCATGGGCAGGGACACCTCCCACTATCTCAGTTTGCTCAAGCCCCTTCCAACCTGGCCTTGGACACTTCCAGGGATGGGGCAGCTGCAGCTTCTCTGGGAAATCCACTCCAGTGCTTCAGCACCCTCACAGGACAGAATTTTTTGCAGTATCCCATCTAACCCCACCCTCTGGCAGTGGGAAGCCATTCCCCCTTGTCCAGTGACTGCAGTTCCTGATGAGTCGCAGCCCTGGGTGTGCTGAGGGCACCTGTGGCCATCGTGGTGCCACCTCGGGGACCTCCCTCTGGGGGTCCATTCTGGAGTCCCCTCCTGTGACACCATCTCACCCTCGAAGACACAAAGTATATCTGCTGACACGTGTCCCTAAACCCAGCCACAGCACCCTGGCCCTTCGGGGCTGTCCCTTTGTGACACGGGCGCGTGACGGGGCCGACCTCACCCGTGACACCGCGACGTGGGCCGCGTCAGAAAGGGCTGTGTCCCAGCATTCCATGAAATCAGGATGGGGGCACAGATCTTCAGTCAATCCCATGGGGAGACTGGTGGGCAGCAGGCCCCACGTGACAACACCGCTGCTGAGGTGTGGGACGGCTCCAAAGGGACAAAGCACTGTGGGATTTTTTTGAGGGACGCGTGTCCGCAGAGAACCTTTGTGTCTCTTGCAGGGCGAGATGTCATCGAAGGAGGACTCTCCAGAGCCGGGCACCTCTGCTGCCAGCACCAGCCAGGAGCCACGGGATGGCAGCGAGGAGAATCCCGCCTGCCCGGCGTGCCGGGACATCGACACCAAGTGCTCCAGCTTGTGCTGGCACTGCTTCTGCCGCTTCTGCCTGTGGGATTGGAGCCTCAGCGACGCCGCGTGCCCCCAGTGCCAGCGGCCCATCCGCCACACGTACCCCCAGCACGTGGCCCTGTATCACGAGGTGCAGGACCAGGTGTACAACAGCAAGCAGAGGCAGCTCGGCCGCTCAGAGCAAGGCATGTGGAGCTGCTCAGGACACAGTGGCAGCAGCCACGATGAGCTCTCGGAGCAGGGCCGAAGGAGGTCCTTGAGGTGGCACCGTGACGGCCACCAGTGGTCTCGGCACGCCCAAGGCAGCAGCTCCTTGAGAAGGAGGAGGCGTCGGCGGAGAAGGAGGAGGCGTCAGTGGAGAGGGGATCGGGACAATGTGCCTGGCGAGGGACGAGCTCCAGGGTCTGAACAGGACACCTCAGACTCCTCATGGGGGAGGCGATCCCAGCGCGGGCCCCACATGCCACAGAGCCAAGATCAGCAGGGACAGGCACGGGGCCGCCGCAGCAGACAGAGGTGGCGGAGGAGGAACAGGGAGCGTTCCCACAGCTGGCACAGGCAATGGAGCAGGTCCCGCAGGCAACGCCGGGACACCCAGACATCGTCCTCAGGAACGGAGCCCCACGACGACTCCGCGAGGCAGAGGCGTTGGAGGAGCAGGAATGCTGGTGAGACACGAGCTCCGAGGCACCAACAGCACATCCCAGACTCCTAAGGGAGGAACCGGTACCCGTGCAGGACCCAGAGCCATGCAGGGCACAGGACCCAATAGCCCACCCTCCCACAAGGGGAAAGGCCACACTCAGTCCTGGTACAGGACAGCCCAGAGTGTCCAGCCAGCCTTCTGTGATCTCCCAGCATGGAGCCACCAGATCCTCTCTGGGCATCCCATTCCGGGGTTTGACTCCCTCTGAATAAACAAATGTCACTTTAGCCAGCGCTTCCTTTATTTCCCTTTGTGCTTTTTGCTGTCTCAGGAGCCTCCACAGGTATTTTGGAGCACCCCAGGCCGTGGGGGTGCCTTGGGTTGCCCTCATGAGCCCTATGCTTTCCCTCTCTGTGCTCCCTCCAGCCCCATCATGTGCCTCTGTGGATCAAGCAAGGAGCAGGGGGTTCTCCCCACATCCCCACGGGCTCTTCCCCACTCTGTGCCCCAGGATTCCACAGCTGAATTTGATTTATTTGGAATCTTTTTTTTTTTTTTTGCTTTTCCTCCAATTTTATCCGGGGAAATTTTGCTGGGAAAAGCTGGAAGCCCTTAGCATTTTTCCAGCGGAGCCACACCTTGGTACAGGAACATTTTCCACAAAAAAAGGTGTAGCTGATACCATTCAGTGCTGGAGGTGCCCGAGCCCTGCCCCAGGGCCAAAACTTGCCCTTCACTTCCCTCCCAGCTGTCACCCAGTCCCTGTCCCTAAATGCCAGCCTTTGGAATCACCCCAATAACCTGCACTGTCCCATTTATCCCTCACTTGGGATATCAGTGTAGTTGATAATCTCCCTAAATGCATGTTCAGCACGTGGGACATGGATTTTGCCAATGGATACGTTCTGTGCTGGATGGAAGGAGGCTGATCACACTGGATCCCTCTTGCACTGCTAGAAATAATTGGGAACAGAAGCCATAAAATTCAACAAATGGTGAAAAACAGGACCTGGGGCTCACAGGGCTCAGTGCTGAGGTCTGGAGCTTGTGGGCAAGGATCCTGGGTGTCCACATCATGCTCTGGTAGAGTCACTCCTTTCCTTGAGTGAATTTATTTTTCTTCCACATAAACCTGCTTCAAATAGATCCGGAGTTCACCCATTTTCCCAGATTATCCTCAAAAGTGGACTCTTGCTACCAGAGACTCCTGGCAAACACACCCAGTGTCCGGTGGGAGAAGCGAGGAACGCTGGGCACAGGAGGGGGCCACGCACAGGAGCAGAACTATCCTGTTAATTTTTCCCTGGATTTACTTTTCTCATTAAATCCCAAACTTCCCATTTGGTGTAAGATGAACAGAGCTGTCCTGTTTAGTTTTCCCTGGATTTACTTTTTTTTCACTCAGTACAAAACTTCCCATCGGGTATAAGCTGATGTTTGTTTATCTCCTGGAAAATCCACTCCCTGGCCAAGGCAGCCTCTCTGAGCACCTTGCCAGGGATCTGGAAACGCTGGATGTGTCCACCTAAACACACTCACACAAATATTTCAATGGGAAAACCCTGGAAAGATACAGGTGAGCATTCATTGTGGGTGGATGGTGGTGGCAGAGCCATACTGCTGCTATTTCTGGATAACAGCGAGTAAGAAAACTCAAACAATTTCTCCTGAAATAAAAAAAAAAAAAAAAAAAAAAAGGTTCTTGGAAAAGTGCAAACAGTCTGGAAGTGTCAGGGAAGAGCCTGTGGCCAGCGCTGCTCTCCGAGGTCACCGTCCAGGAGCTGCCCAGGCTGGATTCAGGAGGTCTTTACGAACACGGGCACCTCAGCCAGGCTGGCAGAGTAATTCCTGAGGATGGTGCCTCCATCAAACACACGGGCAGAGTTGGTGTCCAGCCAGAGGTGCCCTTCTCCAGGCAGGAAGACATCCCTCCATCTTTGTCCTTTTTCTGTTATCGGAGCAACCAGGACCTGCAGTGAAAAAAACAAAAAAAAAAAGAAAGAAAAAAGAACTTTAGCAGGTGGTGGATTGGGCGGGATGTACGTGTGGGGATGAGATGGTCACCAGGGAATCCTGGAATGGTTTGGGTTGGAAGGAACCTTAAAGCCCATCTCATTCCCCCCCTGCCATGGGCAGGGACACCTTCCACTCTCCCAGGTTGTTCCAAGTCCCGTCCAGCCTGGCCTTAAAACTATTTTCCCTTGTTTTACGGGAAAAGCGGTATCCAGCATTCTGAGACTATTGATTCCTGCTAAATCATTTCACTTCCAAAGCTGAAAGAGGTTTCCAGGGCCCTGAATAATAGTTCTGTGAAGAAAGCCAAGCTTTTCCAAAAAGGAAAAACCCCAAACCCACATCAACCAGCTGCTTTGGCTTGGATTTTAATCTGCTTGACTACGAAGCTCCGGTTTGTGTTTCGGCAGAGCTGGGCTCACAGGATGGTGCAGAATTCCCACCTCATCTCCAATGAGAAATTCATCCTCTATGGTGAAGGCAGTCGGATCCGTGGGGCTGAGCCACCAGGCTGGGCGGAAGATGGGGTGTCCCAAACTCTGCCACTCCTCGCTGTATTTTAGGAGGAGCGGCAGCACAAAGTCCCGGTGCCTCTGGATGCATTGGCGGGTCAGGTTCAGGACCTGCAGGGTCAGAGGGAAATCTGTCAGGAGCCTGACATCCAGGAAACAGCAAAGCAGGCAGGGAAAAATGAAAATAAATAAATAAATAAAATTTTTTTATATATATATATATATATATTCCCTTGGGAAGAGAGGTGACTGAATTCCAATGTCCTGATCAAGTTATGGCAGCCAACAAGGTACAAACAGGGTTGATATTGGATATTAATTTATGTGGGTATAAATCCATTGATAATAGGTTTAACTCAATTGATAATGCATATGAATCCATTGGATTTAAATGGTTTAAATCCACTGATAGTGGATGTGAATCCATTTGAATTAAATCCATTATCAATGGATATAAAACCACTGTATTTAAATTTTTTATAATGAATATTAATTGGATTTTAATGGATTTAAATCTATTGATAATGAATATAAATCCATGAGATTTGAATGGATTTAAATCCATTGATAATGAATATAAATTCATGGGATTTGAATGGATTTAAATCCATTATAATGGATATTAATTAATTGGATTTAAATGGATTTAAATCCATGGATGGTGGATACAAATCCAGTGGATTTACATGGATTTAAATACACTGACAATGGATCTAAGTCCATTGTATTTACATGGATTTAGATCCCTTGATAATTGATATAAATCCTTTGGATTTAAATGGATTTAAATCTATTGATAATTGGTATAAACCCATTGGTTTTAAATCTACTGATAACGGATATGAATCTGCTGCATTTAAATTGATAAAATCCATTGATAATGGATATGAATCCATTGGATTTAAATGGATTTAAATCCATTGATATTGTATATAAACCCCTTGGATTGAAATGGATTTACATCCATCGACAACTGGATATAAATCTGTTAATTTAAATGGATTTAAGTGGATGTAAATCCATTGATAATGCACCCGATTTACGTGCATTTAAATCCACTGATAATGGACATAAATCCTTTCCATTTAAATCCCTCGGATTCTCCTCATGAGAGAGCAGGTGTCGTCCTGGTCAGAGTGAGGGATACACACCCAGGAGTCACAGCAGAGCCAGGGTGGGGACCCGAAGGCCATCACGGGCAGGAAGGTCACGATCTGCAGCCACCGCACAAACAGCTCCGGGTCCCCCGCGGAGTCACCGGCCAGGCTCCCTCCTGTGGGAACACAGGGCTCAGGGGGGCTGCTCAGGGGCCTCCCACGGGAAAAGGCAGCTCTTGGGAACACTTAGAGCCCCTCCCGGCGCCTAAACCCCCCTGGGAGCCATCGCTCCAAAAACCTGCCACAGCTTCCCTAGAAACAGCACGAGCCGAGGGCTCTCCCAGCCATCCACAAATGCCCATTTCCCCCAGAGGCTTTTCCCAGATTTTGCAGCTCTCAGAATGCTGGGACACAACCCAAGGGGCACCCCAAGCAAACACCCCAACCCTCTCCATGCAGGGGGACCTGCGCTCCCGTCCTGCTTCCCTGGAATAAGCCGAGGGGTTCAGCGTCCGTCGGGGTGGGAACTGCCGTGCTGGGATTGCCTGAGCCACATTTTCTAAGGAAAACAGGCTAAAAATAGAGGCCAAATTGAAAAATTGCTTCCAACCCCTATTTCGGGGCTGTTATTTAGCTCCATTCTCCAGGTCTGAAACCCCGTCCGCTCCAAGAAAAGGGGCAACAATCCGCTTGGCCCTGATTAGAGGTTGTTTCTTGCCTTTTATAACGTGTTTATTTAAGGATTTCTCCAGCCATTGTGCTTTGGGGCAGAAAGGCAAACTTGGAGCAGAGCTGCTTGAGCTTTAGGAACATCCATTCCCCAGCCAGGAGCCTGGGGATGTGGATCCTGGCTAAGGGCTCCCTCCTGGCTGTACCGGGTGGGATTTAGCCCAAGCCAAGCCCTGTGGGGGTGGGTTGTGGTGGAGCTCTGCAAAGGGCATCCCCAGAGACCCGGCTGCTGATGGGGCTGCCTGGTAATATTTACAGCATGTTCTTTTGTTTTTAATTCCTCAGCTGATTCCCTGGTAACGTTCATCCCAACCAAACCAGCAGAACAGAAAATCGGGGAGCAAAGTGCTCCAAGCCTTCCCATAGCACACCTAAGGTGCAAATGCACCTCCTGCCTCGAAAAACTCCGCAAAAATCACTGAGGAAAAGGCAGAAATAACGAAAAAACCCAAACAAATCCTTACCTACAGTGTCAGGGATGAAGAAGTTGTAGCCCAAGAGGCTGTAGTGCAGCACGGAGGGGATCAGCCCCTTCAGCCCCGCGTGGCTCCAGTCGGAGCGCAGGGGGCTCATCTGGACGAACAGAGGGAGGTGACTGGAGCTGGGGAGACAAAACAAACCCTTAGAGGTGTTTAGAGGGCTCACAGGAGCCAAAATTCCACAATGCCTGGCTGGCTTGGCAGTCACTGGGGTCAGATAGAGAATCCTGGAATGGTTTGGGTGGGAAGGGACATTAAAGCCCATCCAGT